CCCCCCCACCACCACTTCTCACGCTCTAGACTTGACCTCCAAAGACCATGTCCTCCTTTGGGGAATTAATATACTCAGCTTTGTGACTGTTCTCTGAGGATAAGCCATCTTGATGGGAAATTAAACTTCCCTAATCCATTCTGTCTAGCAAGGGCCAGACATCGCTTCATATCCCAACCAATTATCCACCAGGAAACCTGGGCCTACCCAGGCATCTTGTCATCTGCCCTGTTATCAAGTATGTGAACCACCCTACCCCATCCATCTCTTGCTCTAGGAATGGTAATTGAATCATTAGTACCATTACCACTGGAAAGAAGTGTAACAATGGACTACCTCACAATGGCTCCATTCACAATCCTGTTAACTTCCCAGACCAAAACTCCTTTCCCTGTCAACTATTCTCTTGTATAGATTGCTTCTCCTATTAGAATGAAAACTCCTTGACTGTAAGAACTATTTGCCTTTTTCTGTTTGTATTCTCAATTCCTAGCATGGTGCCTGGCACATAGTAGGTGTTTATTTTTTTTTTCATTCATTTATATTGGGAAGAATAACAGGCCAGTAGCAACAACTGGGTGAAATCTATGTCTGTGTTCAGTCCAAAATACATGGTCAAAGTGGACCCAGACATAAGTGAATAGGATAACATCACCCCATAAAAATATAAATAAGAATGCCTTATGTGCTCAAGGGAAGCCTCCATCACTTGAATGTGAAGGGGAAATAGGGAAGATTAAATAACAAGCCTTCCTTGTGTGCTCTTTCAGAGCTGTAACACTATAGCTTTCTTATGGAGGCCAAAGCTTAAAAAGAGGATTTAAGTTAAAGCTGATGAGGACAGAAGGGCTGTTAATGGATTGTAAAAGCAGGGCAATGGTTTGGATAGGTAAAAGAAATATGTGACAAGAAGATCTGCATGACTAAGAAGCACAGAAAGCAAAAAGAAGGATAAAGATACAACTGAAGAGAAAAAAGAGCCAGGGCAAGAGGAGAGATTCACGTAATTAATTTATATATTTCCTATAATAAATATAGTAATATGTGATTTTATTGTAGAATATTGAATAAAATAAATTTCAATATTCTCAAATGAGATTTTTAAAATCTTAAAATATGGTCAATGAGGAATGATTTAATACTCACTGTGGCCTGGTTTTACCAGATAATTGCAAAGCTAATATCATTAAAGTAACTTTGAGCAACCCAACCAGCCCCTTTGAAAAATACAAGTATAATAGGAGTAATGGAAGGTCCCTATTAATAATTGTAGCAATTGCTCTGGTCCCTGGCATCATCCCATGTCTCTCTTTTGCTCAACAATTTTAAGTAGCTCTCTATTGCCTTTACCAAAAAAAAAAAAAAAAGTACTAACTCATCTTCTTACTTAAAACTCTTCACAATCTGCCTCTAACCTACCTTCCAGGCTTATTTCATGTTATTCCCTTCACATGCTCTATGTTTGTGTCAGACTGGTCCATTTGCTGTTCCCTAAAATTAGCATTCTACCGCTCACTTCCATGGCTTTGCACAGGCTTCTCAAATTGTCACATATGTACTTCTCTATGTACGTGTTGTATCCTTGCCAGGAGAATTTAAGCTTCTTGAGGCTGAAGACTTTTTTCGTTTTGTCTCTATTGTCCCTAGCACCTAGAACAGCCCCCTTTCTTATAGTAGGTGTTAACAGATGCTAGTTAGATTTGAACTAGATTGCATTGGCTTGGTTTGACTGGATTGAGATGAATTGTTGGCACAAAAAATATGTATTTCCAATTTCTGGATTTACTAAAAATTGTAGGGCCACAAATCTTTGACCACACTATCCTTTCCTCCCTATGCAGATGCTGCCACCAGCTGTTCCAGGGACACTGCTAGGACACTGTGGGGAAATTGGGAATCCTCTGAACTTCCGCAATTTGAAAGATCCTCCTCCAAGCAAGAGGATAAGGTGCAGAGATGTTAAATACCTTATCCAAAGTCACACACTTTGCTATGATTCTACAAGTATACTCAAATCTTAAAAAAAAGTTTCTCTTGAGTCATTATTCACATTTAATGACCTTAAATTTCACTGATAAACTGATTGAAAAAGTTCACTATGTCTGATTCCTCCATTCCTTTACTACCTTTTCTCTCTTCAACCCCTTGCAATTGAGTTTTTATCCCACCACTCTACTAAAATTATTTTCTATGAGGTCACCTATGACCTCCAAATTACCAAATTTAGTAACCCTTTATCCATCCTCATCTTTTTTTAATTGTTTTCCTGCTACCAGCAAACTTCTCATTTGACATTACTGACCACTTCCTTCCCTCTATCTTCCTTTGGCTTTGGCGATAACATAGTCTTCTGGTTCTTTTCCTAGCTATCTCCCACTGTAAATGAAACCAGAGTATAAGAGGAAGCTAAATCATAAAATCATAGATTTAGAGCTGGAAGGGGCACTTTCTGAGTCCAACTTTCTTGAAAGGTTAAGTGATTTACCCAAGGAAACATAGCTAGCAAATATCCGAGGTGGAAGTTGAATATGTCTTCCTACCTGCAAGTCGAGCACCCCATCCACTAAGTTATGCTTCCTCACATGGAAGGAGGACTCCTGGGTTCTCCTTAAAGAAGCAAATGAAAGAGTTTACAGAGTTGTTTGGACATCCAAATGTAATAAGAAACATCCTTTTATGGAATACTTGATTATTTTACTTTAGGGTGCTCATGATGAGCATAAATAAAAAATGAATGTTATTGGATAATAGCCAATACAATAGGCAGATATTGAACACTACCTGTAATATACATGAGCATAATAATGATTTAGCTTGTCTACATTCAGATCTACTACACATACACTCCAATATATATATCTATGCTTATATAATATATACCCTTATGATTCACTCTTTTTTTTTTTTACCAAACTCATGATTTTATAGGTGTAGGGAACTGTAAGAAACTTACTCTAAAAATGCAGAGTTGCACTTTCTCTAAAACTTATAGATTTAGAGAATGGGTGGGAGAACGGAAAGATTGACTAATTTGCCCTAGATCACACAGCATGAACAAGTCAGAGTCTGGATTTGAACACACATCTGTCTGAATCTGAGGTCAGCTCTTTAGCTACTACTCCAAGCTGTCTCTCATTATTCAATCACAAAATCAATAAATGTTTTTGAGTGTTTCTTGTATATAAGATACTGGGGTATTGTGCTTAGTAGTATATGGATTTTTCTCACTTAACTACTTCATGGATCTGTGATTTCATCAGCTGTGCATACTCTCTTTATCAAAGCAGACTAAAATTCCTCCAAAGTCCAGGAAGGCAGCCTTCATGAATTGTCATGGCCAACAGATCCATCACCTAGTGGTCAGTTTTCTGGGGATGAGCATCTCAGAATCTAACTAGGTATCTCACATGATAGACATGCAGCCTAGTACCTGGTCCATATTCAAACTCTCCATATTAGCAGAACTTCTCAGAGGTTCAGGATACCCCACAACAGGACATCAGGGGAGGCATTCGGCATGAGTACAGCTCGCTCTATAGGGGTATACACAGAGAACCATTATTAGCTTCATAAATAGTTGAAAACAGGGTCATCAAATCAACCAGAATTGCTCCAAGATTGTCTTTTGATGGACTTTCATTTTCATGCATGTGTATAACATGTACACATGAAGAATTTACATTTGTATTTACATTCACAGCTGAAGAATTTACATTTAATATCTGTTTGGCTTGCAAAATTAAATAATCCTTTGCAATGTCATTTCCAAACATTTCATGACTAAAAAGAACCCAAGTTTTAAGCTGGTTTTTTTTTTATGCGAATACCTTGGGGCCTATTGAATTTAATTTAGCAGCCTCTATAGTTTGTTATGCTAAAACCAAAATATGTAAAACATTGATCAGACCAATATGTTTCTGTTATGGTATTGTATTTCTTTATTACTATTGTGTTCAATAGGGTACTGCCTGGTTAAAGGAATTCATGTGGAAAATGTGTGTATTAGCAGCTCATGAGAGACCCAAAAGAGCAAAATTTATATTCCAGAGAACAGCCAAATACTTTCTGTAACTTCCAAACCAAAGAAACACAAGTAGGAAAATGTACTAGTTTACAATGTCTCAAGGCAAGCTGTCTTCAGGAACTCGTCAAGTACCTGACAGCTGTACTAATGGTGTCACCAAGATTGATCCTTGACCAACCCAGAATCCATAATCCAGGAAATCACCTCTAACCCTTCCCCACTCACCAAATACCACTTTAGAAATATAGGAAGCAAGGGGGAGAAAAAAGAGGTTTTCTCCCTATATCTGTGTGTTTTTCATCCACTGTGCATGATCTTACATATAGCAATGACTGGGATAAGATAGAGATAATGATGGATTGACGGAAGAGAAAGCTGAAAGCGCTATGTTTAAATTAGTAGTATCCAGAATCCCTCAGCTATTAGAAGCCCCACTGGACCTTTAAATTCTTCATTTTTATTATGGTAGGATCTGCTTATTTATTTGCAAACTGTAAGAAGCCAGGCGGATTTCCTTGTCTTTATTTATTTATTTATTTATTTATTTGTTAGTGTGCACATGCCTTGTTTTCATGTTGTCTAATATTGATTGTGATGACAAGAAATGTCTTTTCAATGATACTTGTGAATGTGCCCAAGGGCTAATGAATGATGGGCATATTCAATAAAAAGCTAACAAACAGAGAAAATGAATAAGGACACAGTCACTCTTATTTGAAGGGAGTACAAATGAATTGGGTTATGGATTTTCCCATGATAATCACTAATTTGTTGAACACTTGTCAAGCTCAGAGCAAGGTTTCTGCAGTTGGGGCAAGGGCAGGGAGAGGCAGAATCTCTGTCATGAATGAGAAATTTTCCACCCTTTCTATATATGCAAAATCATAGAATTTAAAGCTGGAAAGGATCACTTAATCCCATTCTTCCATTCTGCAAATAAGAGAAGGGAAACCCAGAGAGATTAAGTCACAAAAATAATAAAGACCAGCCCAGGTCCTCTGACTCCAAATTTAGAGTGCTTTGCATTGTACCATACTCCCTTCCTGGCAACCAGAAGGCCTAATCTATACAAAACAGTATTTTTTTTCTTTTTCCTTTAAAAAAAAAAGAGTTTTACTGATGTCTTGGGTTTTTTATGTTGGTTTTATTTTCTGACATATTTTTGTTGTTGTTCAGTCGTGTCCAACTCTTTGTGACCCCATTTGGGTTTTCTTGGCAAACATACTGGAATGGTTTGTCATTTCCTTCTCCAGATCAATTTACAGATGAGGAAACTGATACCAATAGGGTCAAGTGACTTGCCCAGAGTCACACAGCTAGTAAGTGTCTGAGCCCAGGTTTGAACTCAATAAGATGAGTCCTTCTGACTTCAGGCCTTGCAATCTGTCTACTACACCACCTAGTAAGAACAGTAGCTACAAAAATATCCCAAATAAACATGGGGCACACTCTCCTGCAAAACATACTCAGCATCTCTGGGAAGAGTAGACACAAACTTAGAAAATAATGGTAGTGTGGCACACATGTAAGGAATACATGTGGATAAGGCTACTCACTCTTCTAATGCTGTGAGATTCTGAACAAGTCATTTAACCTGTCTACCTGAGTTTGCTCATCTATAAAATGGGGATAATAATAGCACCTCTCAGGGTTGTTGTAAGAATAAAAAAAAAAAGATAATATTTGTAAAGCCTTTGCAAACCTTAAATGTGCTATATAAATGATATTATTTTTACCATCTGCTAATTATTTTTCTGCATAACCACAACAAAATTTCTTAAGCACCTATTATGTGCAGAGGATTGAGTTTAAGTGCTAAGGATATGAAGACAAAATGAAAAATAGCCCCTAGGGGCAGCTGGGTGGTGCAATGGATAGAAGTCCAGCCTTGGAGTCAGGAGGACCCAAGTTCAAATCCAGCCTCAACACTTGACATTTACTAGCTGTGTGACCCTGGGCAAATCACTTAACCCCAACTGCCTCATCAAAAAAACAAACAAATAAAAGGAAAAATAGTCCCTGGAAGTGGGGGGAAAAAAAGAGGCAAATAATTTAAAGAAAAACTTCCTAACAATTTTACCTGCCCAAAAGTGGATCAACTTGCCTGGAGAGGTGGCGGGTTCTTCTTTGGAGGCTTCATAAGCCAAAGTTGGCCAGCTTCCTGACATTAAGTAAGGTACGGTTGAGGTTCCTTTCATGCGTTTGACTAGATGGCCTTTGGAGTGCCTTCTGACTTTCAAATTCCATGATTCTGTGAAGAGAAATTGGCCTACTCTTTATCACTCCACCCCAACCACTGCTCCTCCACCACCTGACAGTCTTGGGTACGTTACAGAGAAGTTAGCAAAAGGATGTGGGGGTGGGAGGTAGGAGAGGGAGTTGAAGGGTTACGGAAGTGGGAGGAGAAAGACAGGTAAAAACAAATAAAATTAAATTATCAAACAGACCATAACAGGAACAAAAAGAAGAAAAATAAATATAAGAAGGGGAAGAAATACTGAACCTAAGAGAAAAAAAAATAAGTAGGATAAATTGCATATAGATTATATATTCAAAGAGTAGGACAATAAAAAGTAAATAAATATATATAGATCCAGAGGGAAATCTCTTCCTTATAAACTTCCCCTAATAATCCTGAGGGAGCAAAAGATAATAGAGGCTTAATGCAAAGTGAAAAATATAGAACTAGAAAAACAGTATACAAATTCACTACAACTGAGGTGTGCGTGTGTGTGTGTGTGTGTGTGTGTGTGTGTGTGTGTGTGTGTGTGTTTAACCAGGGACAAGCAGAGCTCTGCCCCTCCCCCTCTGGTCTTTCTAATAATTCTCCAGAGCTTCAGAGTAACTTGTACAGCCTGGCTAGTTCTGGAAGGGGAAGAGTGGAGCATGAAAGGTGAATGGAAAGGGCTAAGAAGCTACAGTGTCTTGGGTTTTTAGCCCCAGTTTAAAAATGACTCAGTGAGAGGTGCTAACCTTGTGGGGAGCACACCGCCTAAGTCCTGGGGTAGGGAAGAGGCAAATGCAGCTGTGACCCTTAACCAGGCTAGGAGTGCAACTGGGGACCAATGTTTAAGATGGTGAGTTAGGCATCTTCAAAATCGTCTAAAGGGCTGTTCTGGGTGTCCTCAGGTAACAAAAAGAACTGGAACTGTGTTGACTAGCATGTTCACCCAGGCTAAGAGCTGATAAGTCTTTACAAAAACTTTAACAGTTCCCTGAGAAGGGTAAGCAGATGGTAGTGTCAGCATAGTCAGCGACCTCCATGTCATCCTCGAGGTCTTACTAGCATTCGCTCAAAGTAGCCAATCTGTTGGCCAGTTACACTTATTTTCACCATATTTCTCCTAACTATTCCCTTCTCTCCACTCATACAACCACCACTCTGGTGCATGCCCTCATTACCTCATACCTGAACAATAACCTTCCATGCCTCAAGTCTCTTCCCACTCCAGCCCACCCTCTATTCTGCTGCTTTACCTAAAACACAGTTCTGACCATTGCACACATCCCCTCCCCACTCAATAAAGACCTCTTATATGCAGGATCAAATATGAAGTGCTCTATTTGGCCTATTCTGGGCTGCTTCTTGTTCCTTGCACTTGACCCTCTATCTCCCAACTCTGCTTTTTCATTGCCTGTCCTGAGCTGTTCTCCCTCCTCACCTAAGCCTTATGACTTCCCTAGTCATGTTCAAGACTCAACTCAAATCTCATTTTCAACAAGAGGCCTTTCCTGGTCTCTCCTGGGGCTAATGGAATCCTTATGAGGTTACCTCCCATTTATGTTGTCCCTATCTTGAACATACATAGTTATCCAGATACTATAGTAGGTACTGGATTAGTCAGTCAATAAACATTTATTAAGCACCTACTATGTGCCAGGCACTAAGCACTGAGAATACAAAGGGAGGCAAAAACGACAGTCCCTGCCCTCAAAGAGTTCACAGTCTAATGGGGAAGACAATAACTAAATAAATATGATACAAACAACCCAAAGATAGGATAAATAGGAAGAAATTAAAAGAAGGAAGGCATTAGCATTACTGGTATTAGGAGAGGCTTCCTGTAAAAGGGAGCATTTTAGCTGGGACTTAGGAAGGCAGGGAAGTCAGGAGGCAGTGATGCTGGGAACAAAGACAAAAAAAATTAAAATGGTTTTTGTCCTCAAAGACTTTTAAAATGAGAAAATACCCATTCCACTTTCTGTGCAAGTTGATTGTAAGACTGACTAAAAAAAAAATAGATCACGTATAACAGCATTTTTAAAACTATATAAGGTGCTATAAAAATATTATCTACAGCAGCACTTTTTTTCCCAAGAAGTATATGTCAGTACATCTCCAAGCCAAAGGCTGATTGACCCTGGCACACATACTTGGCAAACTTGTCCAGAGTCATATATTTGCCAGTGAATTGTATGTTTCAACCTTGAGGCACAAAGCAAGCACATAGGAAGAATTTCTCTGGCAACAAATTCAGGCAGACCTTTCTTCCCTTGACCTTGTTGCAAAGTGTCTCTCCCGGCCTCCACTCCATTAGTAATTCTCATCACCAGGAAGCAGGCATAAAGTAATAGTCATTTCAGGTCTGTCAGGGTAATGATGCACTGAATGTCAATTTTATGTTTGATGCAGTATTGCAGAGTTAACTGCTATAAAATAATACCCCAATTCCTGGTGATTTAAAATAAATCCCTAAGGCAGCAACAAAATAAATTATTACAAAATTTTTAAAGCTTCTCATTTTTTATTTTGTTCAATAGATTTTTTAAAAAATTGCTTTTGTCATTTGATTTTTAATGAGTTTTTTTATTACTATGCTAGAGTAAATGCTTCGGGAGCCAGACTGGTTTTGGTCTATAGAACAGCAATCTAACTCTTCAGAAAAGGCTATTTAAAAAATAGTTATGAGAGAAAGGAACTAACATGAACAATGCATAGTAAGTTCACTGATTTTTCTCACTGGATCAGAGTTCTTCCAGCAAAGAGATTAAATATTGATCAGTATGGGTGCAGGGACAGATTCTTCTAGCTGACTGCTCTCCATCATGCCTTCCTTACCTCCTTTTCCTATGTACGCCCTTTTCTGCTGTTTGTCTCACATCCACTTAATATGTTCAGGTCTCAGAATTTAACCATTTATTGCATAAATGACTTTTTAAAGAACCTGGCTCACAGAAGTCACTGGGTGTTTGTCATCATTATTGCTGGAAAAATATTGTGGCTCTCCTGCACAGAAAATGCATTATATTGTATACATCCAAATGTCTATTTGAAGATCAGCACTAATAGCTGTTAGCAGTCAATGTTAACAAATACACGCACACACATATACACAATTGATATTGCTTTCTTAATCTCTTTGACACATCTGGGTTAATTTTTAATGGTATTATTTGTAGTATACTAGGTTTTATGAATTTAGCAATATTTTTTATCAATACCAAATGAAGAAACAAAATCACTTAGCTAAAATGTACTTGGAACCTATTCGACTTTTACCTAATCCCTTTTCTCTGAACATTCAAAGAGAGCATTTCAGTTTTTTGTTTTGTTTTGTTTTGTTTTTATTGGAGTTTTTTTGTTGTTGTTGTTACTGGTTTTTACTAAGAAGATGTGTGTGCTCTTGTGAAATTCCCTGCCACCTGGCCCATTTTTTCTCCCCAGGACCTTTTAAATACACAAAATATTTTTTGGAAACTCATCTCAAGCATCCTAATCTTTTCTTTCTTTCTTTTCACTGAAGCTCAAACCCCAATTCACACTCCTACTAAAAATATGCACTGTGTTCAGTTTAAGCCAGTGATGTTTTCAGCATTGTTTGATGGATTCAGCAGCTTTCTTGGCTCCTAGTATGAATTTCTACAGTGACTTTCTGGCATAATTTTTGAAAGATATTATAAGCTTGCTTCACTTCTAATCATAAGCACCAAGGGGGAAAAGGCAGTTAGCTTTTTACTATCAAGAGACTTTCCAAACACACTCCATCTATAACTATTGGCTGGGGCAGGGCTTGTGGGGATAGGGGAGGAGGATAAGCCACTTGCAAACATATCTCTACTTTTTTTAATCTGATGGAAATGTTTACTGGTTCATTAAAGTATCCTCATTATTGAACCTCGTTTTTTTGCCTTGCCATAAAGCTTCTCTTTGCAATGTGTATAGCTTGGATCCATCTTGGAGATGAAACTGCCTGCTCTGCTGCCCTATGATTGGGTCACACAAGTAAAGATGTTTGCCATCTGTGAATTTGGATAACTCTTTTTGCACTGAGAAGTGGCCAGCTATGCATCAATACCATTTTCTGCTTCAGTTAAGTGAATTTGATTTTGATCTTGCATGTGGGTCTCCAACCTACGGGCAAATGGAGACCACATGGTAATTATCTCTCCATCAGGACTGAATCCAAGATAGCTGTGCTTAGGAGAAAGCAAAACCAAGAAAATGTCTGTGGTGTTAGAATGTATTTACTGCTAAAATAGTGATTTCAATCATAAAAAAAAGTCAAGCAAACCACAAAGTAGAAAAGGAAATAAATGCTACCAAAGAAATCCAAAACATGGACTGTGAAACTATGACACCATGTTATTACTCCTATCTAAATTATTAGAAACCGGGGCTTATGTAAAGGAAAACAATACTGAAAGGTTTCAGAATGCTGATCAATACAGTGTCTGATCATGATTCCAGAAGACTAACAGTGAAGGGGAAGCAGATTCCTGCCTCTTGGCAGAGAGATGGTGGACTCCAGATGTAGAATGGGGAATATGTTTTCAAACATGGCTGATGTGTTAATTTCCTTAGTTTAACCTTACTTCTTTGGTACAATGAGTCCTAAAAGAGGTGAGGAGGGAAGAGAGGGTAAGGTGTCATTGGTACATTTTTTGAAAGAAACTAAGCACTATGGTAAGTTACTTTCTTATTTAGAAGCATTGGAAGGACTTTCACAACAGCTCTCCTTGCTTATTATAATTGAATTGGTATAAATAGGGTGATTTTAAATCATTTTTGATAAATCATTCTTGTCATGCAAAATGGCAAATTAACATTTGCCATTTGGAAAAGGAAAAAGCTATTGATCATAAATCTGGAGTTGGAAAGAACTTTAGAAGCCATCTAGCCCAACCCCCTCATTTTACAGATGAAGAAATCTCAAGCCAAGAAGGTCAAGCTGCCGTCATTCATATAGTGGACAATCATTTATTGAGCACATGCTCCATACTGGGCACTAAGAAATACAAAAATGAATAAGACAATGTCCTTGTCCTCAAAGAGCTTGCCATCTACTACCTAACAAAA